AATAACAAACATTAATTTATGATACAGAAGTAGATAGGCAAGATGATCAGATATGCATAGGTAAACACGATTATACCCAGAGCCATATATAGATTTGGCAGATGATATTTCTACATATGTATTTGTACATGTAAAATTTTCCATATATATGTTGTTGTTAGGTGCTGTCAAGTTGGCTCCGACTCAGCGACCCTAGGTACAACAGAATAAAACACTTCTTATTCTGTGCCAGCCTCACAATCCTTGCTATACCTAAGCTCGCTCATCATTGCAGCCAGTGTGTCAATCCATTTCAATGAGGGCCTTCCCCTTTTTTGTTGACCCTCCACTTTACCAAGCATTCTCCTGAGAATATGGTCCCTTCTGACACCTGACCAAAGTAGATAAGATGAAATCTGGCCATTCTCTCTTGCAAGGGGCATTCCAGCTATACTTCTCCAGGACAGATTTGTTAGTACTTCTGGCAGTCCATGGTACTTTCAATATTCTTCGAGTATATACCACAACTCAAAAATGTCAACTCTTCTTTGGTCTTCCTTATACATTGTCTAGCTTTCACATGCATATGAGGCAATTGAAAACACCATGGCTTGGGTTAGGTGCACCTTAGTCTTCTAAGAGCCATCTTTGTTCTTTAGCACTTTAAAGAGATTTTTTTTCACTCTTTTGGCAATGTAATTATTGACAAGTATGAATTTGTTACTGTGATTTTGTTACGTGCATTTTTGTGGTGTTGCTGATTTCTTTGTTCTATGTAATTTTCTGTGCTGAGCTCATTTTGTTTATGAATCATATTATCATTTCCTTCTTTGCTGTTATTTTAGTGTTTGCTAAATATTTGTGCTGGTCCTCTTTTTTATTTTGATGTGAATGAATGTTTATCATTTTTCTTTGAGGTTACCCTGTGATTTATTATTTTCTTCCCAAGTTTAGAACAGTCCATTCTTGACTTCCCTACCATTTAGAAGTTCTGTAATTGTACAGTTTATTTCCTCTTTTTCATTATAGTTGTCCTCATTTGTCAATTGATGTCTCTGGTTCCCTGTTTACAATTTTGTAGGTTTATTTACTCTGGATACTTCTATAACTGGGTTGGTTTCTGGATTTTGTTATCATGTGTGTTAATGGCTGGTTGTTTGCTGTTGTTGGTTCTCTGTCCAAAGGACTTCCTTTAGCATCTCTTGTAAGGTTGGTCTGGTTTTAACAAATTCCCTTAATTTCTGCTTATCTGGAAATCTCCTAATTTCACCATCATATTTGAGGGACAGTTTTGCTGGGTATGTAATTCTTGGTTGGAAATTTTTGTGTTTCAGGGTTTTATATATACCATCCCATTGCCTTCTTGCCTGCATGGTTTCTGCCAAGAAATCTGAGCTTAGTCTGATTGGTTGCCCCTTGTAGGTAACTTTTTATTTTTCCCATACTGCTTTCAGGATTCTTTGTCTTTGGTCGTGGTGCGTTTGATGATGGTATGTCTTGGTGATTTTCTTTTGGGGTCTATCCTGTTTGGGATTTGTTGGACTTCTTCAATGGCTATAGTTTCATCTTTAATCATATCAGGAAAATTCTCTTCCAACAAATCTTTGACAATTTTTTCTGTAGTTTAGTTTGTCTCTTCCTGTTCTAGAATTCTGATTACACATAGCTTATTCCTTTTGATAGTATCCCACATGAACCTTAGGCTTTCTTCATTTGTTTTGATCTTTTTTATGATTGATCCCTTTCCAAAGAAGTATTGAGGTATACCTTCAGTCTCACTAATTCTGTCTTCCATTGATTCAGGTCTACTCCTTTGCCTGTTCAATGTGTTATCTGTTTCTGGAAATTTAGCATTAATCTTCTGGATTTCTGTCTGTAGATTTTGTATCATTTCTAATTTTTCATTTATTTTGTCATTTTTTTCTTGTATTGTCTTTCAAAATTGTTCTAGGGTTTTCTCTGTGTTTTCCTTGATCTGTCTCTCAATTCATTGAAGGGACCTAAATAAAATTCTTTTTAATTCCTTATCAGGGAGTTCCAATGCTGCATGTTTCTCAGGGATGTGTTTTGGGTCTGTATCCTGGTCGCTTGTTTCTCCTGCTTTATTTTGCTTCTTTGTGTGGACTGTGATGCTCTGTTGTCTGCAAGGCATTGTGATGTTTTTGTGTTTATATTTAATTGTTGATTGTATGTTGGAGTGACTTGCCCACAATTTTAATTTTCTTTGTGTGTTATCTACATAGGCAGGGTACTGTGCTGTGCTCCTGTATTTGCTAGTTGGCAGCACATATACATTCACTGGGAGCTCTGGTAGCATAGTGGCTAAGACACTTGCCTGCTAACCAGACGGCTGGTGGTTCAAACCCACCAGCCACTCCTCGGAAGGAAGGTTGGGCAATCCTACTTCCGTAGTGATACTGCCTTGGAAACCCAAGGAGGGGTCGCTATGAGTCGGGTTTGACTCGATGGCACATAACAACATAACAACAACATACATTCACTACCTGTCTCCTTTCCCGTTGTCAGCCTCCTTTATGTCTCTGCCGACCTTGGCAAACGGAGCCTATTCTTAGGTCCCTAGAAGCCGAATGAGAATGCTGTCACTTTAAAATCCAAAATGGCCACCACTTGTAAACATTCGAAATGGCTGCGCCCTCTAGACAGCCAAAAGTCCATGGTTCAGGTTGTCTCCCTCATTGCTGTTTCCCTCCCTAGTCATAGGTCACCAGGTCAGTTGTCTCTGAAGCCCTTGGCAACCAGGGCTAATCTTTAGATAAATTCTCAGGTCCCAACATCCTTGGAGATATTCAAACTATTAGTGCTATCAGAGTGGGTGACAGTCTGCAGGTCTGTCTGTCTTCATACTCCCTGTTTTCATTCAGGTTTTTCCACTAGTTGGTGCTGAATCTACTTCTGTATAACTTCCTTTCTATATCTCTGTCAATTGGTTTCTCTTTTCTTTGTTGAAGAGGGTATGTGTAGCTTGTCTGCCTATTCCACCATCTTACTTGAAGTCCTAAAGAGATTTTGTTTGCTTCAGATTTGTCCAATGCAATGTGTTGTCTGATTTCTTTATTGCTGCTTCCATTGGTGTTGATTGTGGTACCAAATAATATGAAATATTTGACAACTTCTGTCTTTTCTCCATTTATCGTGATGCTGCTTATCAATGCAGTTGTGAGGATTTTCGTTTTGTTTATGTTGAAGTGTAATCCATACTCTAGACTGTAGTCTTTAATCTTCATCAGTCAGTGCTTCAAGTCATCTTCACTTTCAGCAAGCAAGGTTGTGTCATCTGCATATTGCAGGTTGTTAATGAGTCTTCCTCCAATCCTGATACCATGCTTTTCCTCATATAGTCCAGCTTCTCGGATTATTTGCTCTTATGACTCTGTCTTAGTCTGGAAGCTCCACTGAAACCTGTCCACTGTGGGTAATCCTGCTAGCATTTAAAATACTGGTGGCATAGCCTTGAGTCTCACAGCAACACACATGCCACCAATTTGACATACTAACAGATGAATGGTGGTTCATATATATAGTAGAGGTAAAAAAGGGGCAAATTATGAAAACTTCTTGGCCATAACCAAACACTTGGAAGTGAGTTGGTGGGCCTTTGGGCTTGAGACTCTTTATTGCAGAGGACGTCAATGTCAATTGCCAGTACATAGTCCACAAAGGCATTTTTTTTTTTTTTATGTCCAACTTTGGTGAGTAGCAACTGGGGTCTTAAAAGCTTACAAGCTGCCACCTAAAGTGGAACTATTGTTCTCTTCTTGTCTGAAGCAAAGAAGAGTGAAGAAAATCAGAGATTCATGGAAACAGTCTAAGGGACCAGTGGAGTATGGAAACCAGCCTCTATGACCCTGAGACCAAAACTAGATGATGCCTGGCTATCACTGTCAACCACGTGGAGAGGAATAAAAATAGGAGATCTGAATAGAGTAGGAGAAAAATGTGGAACAAAACTGAAAACCCTTAAAAAGACCAGGCTTACTGGTCTGGTAGAGACTGGTAGAACCCTCTAGACCATGGCTCTTAGTCACCCATCAGGCCTGGGAACTGAACTCACTCCGTAGGGCTCAGCTTGTAGCCAAACAGTAGACCTATGTGATGAACAGTAACACCAGGGAGGTACTCATTCCTTAGAACAGTCAACCATAAAAGATCAAAAAGGCAGCATTTACCCAGGGATAAAACTTAGGAATGGATAGGAAAGAAGGACAAAGGGAAATAGTAACCACAGGGAGGCAGTGGGAAGGATGTTGTTACATTGTGGGGATTGTAGTCAGTGTTACAAAACAGAATGTGAGCTACTGAGTGGGAAACCAATTTGCTCTGTAAGCATTCACCCAAGTCACCAACAAAGAAATGAAATGGCTTTCTTGTAAGATCTAGCGTTACTCTTATTTTTACCTTTTATCTGAATCTTCACTCTTCTAGTCAATTCCGGTATTACTTCCAGCAGTTTCTTCTTAATGTGACTCTATCTAGAAAGGAGGTTTGTCTGATTAATTTTTGAGAGTTCCCAGGGTCCAGACTAGGCCCAACTTTCCCACAGGCTTCAACCCTTAGATTAGGTGAACTGGAGGATATGAAAGCAATTCCAGGTCCAGTTGGTCTAACATGTGCATGCCATTCTTTCTAGGAAGACCCTATTGGCCACTTTGGGGTTCTTGTCAAGTCTTGATTAGCCTTCCTTCCTCTTGTACAAATAGATACCATGTAGATCTTGTGGCTTTTGGTGACTTGTCACTTAATTTTGTTATAGATGTCTGTGGTTTCTATTTGGTTCCCTAGTTGAGGAGTTTAAAACATATACCACTGCTGCTACCATCTATAGAGAATACTCTTGCCCATGTAACTGACTCAATGCCACCATGTAGATATTTCTAGATTGAAGAGTACAGTGAAGTATTTGAATTTTGTATCATTGTAAAAACTTACTGTCATTTTATAAAAATGTATTGACCAGGCAAGAACAATGGATGCCTACCACTAACTATTATATGCTTTTTCAGATTGTTCAGTTCGGTATGAATGAAAAGGTGGGACAGATTTCCTTTGATCTCCCACGTCAGGGAGACATGGTATTGGAGAAACCTTACAGTGAAGCCACCGCAAGACTGATAGATGATGAAGTACGAATACTTATTAATGATGCTTATAAAAGAACAGTAGCTCTCCTCACAGAAAAGAAAGCTGATGTGGAAAAGGTAGGTGACAGTTGTAGAACTAATTCTCTACCAAGTTTTGCAGGAAAAAGTAAAGTGATAGATTGGGTATTTTGGTTGGTTTATAGACTTCAGAGTTTCCCTTTTTTTTCCAGTTCTTCTACTTATTCATCATGGTGTTTCAGTGACGCCTCTGTCTTGATGAGGCTGTAGGCAGTGAGCAGAAGCAGACATAGCCCTAGCCTTCGCAGCTCTTAATGTCACACTAGGAATATGAGTAAGGAGTCAGTGAGGTCTTTTACTAACTACAACATAAACAATAATGAAATTAGCCCTCTCCCCCACCAAATACTTTAAGTTTACCATTGTTTCTCACCTCCAGAATAAATAGGTAGTGAAAGGTGAAAGGGCAAAAAAAAAAAAAATTAGCCACAAACTAGATAAGTAGGAAATTGGCATACAAAAATTAAATTTGTCTTGATTAAGCTCTAACATATATAAACATACTTAGTGGTTTTTGTTGTTGTACCTCATTTGATAGCACTTATAAAAAGGGGGGATTCTCTCTAAATTCACTAGATTTCTTGCATCCAGTAAACCAATTCTTCAGTCTTTGCAACCAAAATTGGAATTTTTTGTTCTTTGAACATTCTACACTCTAATGGAAAAAAAATATAATTGAAAGATCTTCTTACAAGCAATTGACTCAAAAGCCTATTCTGAGATAATGTTATTTAGTCAGCAAATCTTCAGAGAAGCCTGCTGTGAGCCTACTTTGGTGTCTTTTTTCAAAAGTCATTGTCTAACTGGAGAGAGAGCTGGTGCACATGAAACACATGGAGGCATTCAGCAGAAGCCAGAGTAGTCAGAGAAGGCTCTATGTGAATGCATAAGATAGGGCTTAAATTTTACTTTGAAAGTGATCAGGGTAGAATATGTGAAAAAGGGGGACAGTGAGGTGTGGAGGCCTGAGAGCAGAAATGTGTATATAGTAGGGAGAGTGGGACTGGGATGCCAGTCTGGAGCAGACAGTGAAAGGTGACAGGATTATGAAGGGCCTTGAAAAACTAGGCAGAAACCATAGAAACATAGTTTTAGAAATAGAAGTGACCTTAAAAATGATCCAATCCAGCCTTGTAATATAGTTGGGATTCCTTAAGATGAAAAGTTCTTAGCAGTATTGATTAAAAGTTCATCAAGTAAAAAGATGTGAGTGGCAGTAGTGTGGAATTAGGAAGAAACTAGAAGAACAGAGGCCAGTTCAGACATTCCTGAGATGATGCCTGTGGTAACAGTAAAAATAAAAAGACAAAGGTAGATCTAAAAAAATAAGATTTACTGATTAAAGAATGAAGAGAAGAAAGACCTCAAGGTAACTACATGACTCTGATGGTGGCACACATGAGCTGGTGAAGGGCAGCAGAGGTAGTACAGGGCTCAGTTTGATACCCAGGAGGGTGTGAGTAGTGACGATTTGTGAATGGGATATTAGGCAGTAGCCAGTTGTTGAAAACAAGGGAGGAAATTTTAAGAAACAAAAGAAAGCTGAGGAACTCACTCTGGATTACCACCTCTATAAGAGCAAAGTGTATGTGTAAAATTTTTCAAGAGTAGGGATTCCGTTAGCATATAATAGATGCTCACGTGTGTCCAGGGAATATTACCCAGTTATCTTGTTGTTGTTGTTATGTGCCGTAGAGTCAAACCCGACTCATAGCGACCCCTCCTTGGGTTTCCGAGGCAGTATCACTAAGGAAGTAGGATTGCCCAACCTTCCTTCCGAGGAGTGGCTGGTGGGTTTGAACTGCCAGCCGTCTGGTTAGCAGGCAAGTGTCTTAGCCACTATGCTACCAGAACTCCCAGTTATCTTACTCCTTCCATATTTATGATGCATGTTATGACAATATTTGACAAAGAAATATCTGTTGTAAGATAATTAGTTTAACATAGTAAGGTTCTTAAAACAATAAAGAATTCTGAAGAACTTTCTTGTTCATCAAAGAAAATTATGTATGTTCAAAATAGTATTAGCCTTCTTTTTTAAAAATGGTTATATATAGGCAAATTAAGAATTAAAGATGTCTAAGAAGAAATTAAAAACTTTTTCTTTTTCCAGATCCTATATCTGCCATCAATATATTTCAAAAACCAGAGCATTTTTATATTCTGAGTATGTGTTTTAAAGAGTTCCTATCTCTTAGAGTTATACCAAAATATATATAGCTAAAATAGTATGCCATCTTGGATTTTCTTCAAAATAGTCTAAGGAGTAGATGAAACGAAAATCATTCTTAAGGTGATAATGGATATATGGTAATTGGTTATCCATTCTTTCTACTTTTGTTCATATTGGAAATATTCCATAATAAAGAGTTGTTAAAAGTTGAGAAGAAAAAAAAAAGTTTAATTATTTCATATTTTTTAAAATAGCATTTAATATAAACTACAGATGTGTTAAATTTTTAAGTAAGGCACCATCTGTGGAACTAAATCTGTTTATGAGGTCAGTTCATATGCAGTTCATAATTTAAACTGTTTAATTTTCTTTACAACAGTCAGATGACCTAATGTTCTTCTGATACCATCACTTGCCTCTACATACATAATTGATCAGGTGCCCCCTTTTTTGTAGCCTGTAGTGTAGTGCCAATTTTGTAGTTCAGTCTTAATAAATGAATAGAACTTCAAGGTAACATATTTTAGTATTAACCTTCCTGGCTTCATTTTGCATCTCTGCCCTTGTTTTTATTCTTTTTAGCTAATTTTTTATTTTATTTTATTTCCTGTCCACTCTACTTCTGTCCTTTCCCCCAGCCTTCCTCCCATAAACAAACAAAAAACCCAAACTCGTTGTCCTTGAGTCGATTCTGATTCGTAGTCATCCCCATTGATTTTCCAAGGCAGTTAATCTTTACAGAGATAAAGGGAGTAGGTTGCCTGGTCTTCCTTCCATGGAGTGGCTGGTGGGTTTGAACGGCCAACCTCTTATATATCCTTCTAGAATTTCTTTATACATAAACACATAAAAAGATATATTCTTTTCTCCTTTTAAAAAAAATGAAATACAGCACACTAAACACATTGTACGTCTTGGTTTTGTAAGTGTATATCTTTTGAGATAGATATATATAGAACAAAGAGAGCTTCTGCATTCTTTATTACAGGCTTATAATTGTTCATTGGGTTAACTTGCTGGTGGGCATTTTAGTTTCCAGTATTTCGTAGGTCTTACTTCAAAATGATTTGCCCTTATATGAGACATCTTTTCGAGTGATCTTAAATCCTTCTTTGGAATAGAGTGGGCTATAAATAAAAACTTTATTACCTTTGAATAGATATTTGCTGAATAACTATATTTAATGGAAATTATTCATGTTTCAGGTTGCTCTTCTACTTTTAGAAAAAGAAGTATTAGATAAAAACGATATGGTTGAACTGTTGGGCCCCAGACCTTTTGTAGAAAAATCTACTTATGAGGAATTTGTGGAAGGAACTGGCAGCTTGGACGAGGACACCTCACTCCCAGAGGGCCTGAAGGACTGGAACAAAGAACGTGAGAAGAAGAAAGAGGAGCCCATGGATGAGACAGTGGCCAATCAGATCAAAGGAGGAATTCCATTCTAATAATCAGTGTTGTGGTTTCAATTTGCGCATTATTTTAATTTAAGCTTTCTCAGAAGAATGAGAGCACTGCTAAGTTGATTTTCAACCAACTTAAAAATCAGCTTACTCAGGTGAAATGGTGAGAACAATAGTTTGTAATCCTCTGCCTCAGAGTCACAGTGAGGAAGACATTGTAACATTCTGAAGGCACCAAAGGAGATGCAGGCTGTCCCTCAGCCTCATTGGGCTCTCCTCACAATGGCTGAATAATTTGAGGCTAGTGCCCTGGAGTACTGGTTCCTCTTGGACCCACAGGAAGGTGTGGGGATGAACAAGTGTCAGGGGTAATGAATATGTGAAATTTTGACGATATTTGAGTTACTTTTCTGTTTTTATCATCCACTCTTCATTCCTATTCCCCTTCAGTTTCTCTCTGCAGATGCAGGGGGCCTGTGGGCTGTGAAATTAAATTCAAATCTTGATAAGAATATTTTAATTTGATTTAATATTTTACAGATCGAATCCTGATTACTTGTTGCTGTTATAATGGAATGGTTTTCTACAAAGAGCTGTGACATATTTAAAAATATGAATGTATTGTGTAAATACAGGCTTCTTTACATCAAGATAAAATGTAAATACTACTCGCCACCCCCCCCAAACACACTAAAGGTCACTGTTTATGCTTAGAATGCTTTGTTTAAGAAAACATAATGGGAAGGAATTAAATGTTCTTACATTTTGGAGGGAATCCTTTTCTCATCAGCTTCCCCAAGAAGGCTACTATATTTTCACACAAATAATATGTATGTTATACAATCTTTTACCAACTATACCCTCCCTCAAGGTATTTTATAAGTGCACTGTGCTAATTTCAAAACAGCAACATTTAAAAAAAAAATAGCATAGTCTGCTTATGGAAATAGTTTGGGATGAGGGCGTAGTTGGGAACACCATCATCCTCCACCCTCTATCCCCTATAACGCAAGCTGTTTGCCTAAATATAAGGTAATAACATCTAGATTTGTGCTAGATATAATATATACAAAGTGTTCTTGTGGGTCAGTGGGTTTAAGGATTTAGGATGATGGCATCAGCTTAACCCTCACTGGCCAATCATGAGCAGACTTTCCTCACTGTTTGGGTCTAGGGGTTGATGCATAAACATGGCTGGCTGTGGCAGGCTGTTTCAGACCATCTCTTTGATATCCAGGAAGGAACAATGAAGCCATATAGCGGTAGTTTCCTGTGGTTTCTCAGTGAAGTGGTCTGAACCATTAACTACCACTCTGTTAGAAGGGAGTTATATAGTTTATGATCATGAAGATGGTGCAGGAGTAGTCAGTGATTCATTCTGTAAGGTTCTTATGAGTCTGCCAACCTGACAGCAACAACGTAGTTGGCGTAGTTGCAGAAAATGGGAAGTCTGCAGTGTTGGAGACCAAGATCAGAATTCTTACAAGATGGACTGAGGAAGTTTTCAAACACCATCATTTGGATTTGGAGCTACCAGATATTTTTGCATTTTTTATCTTTTTTAGCAGCCTCCTTGAATGTTATTCCAATACTTTCTGTACTGTTGATCTAATTATGTTATGGGAACAAGAATTTTTAGGCTTCAGATATAAAATTCCACGGTGTCCTTGCCGTGGCACAGGAGATGAAGGTGGGAGACACCACTTTGCCACAGAAACACTCTTACTAGGGACCTACCTGTGTCTCCAACTTGCATAGAACTAGCTGAACACTAACCCACACAGCATCAGTGGGTAACCAGAACTGTTCTCCTTCAACATCATCCTTGCACTTATGCTAGACCCACTGCCAGCAGTCTAGAGAAGTAGCATGACTGCTGCTTTTCATCATCATAGGATGGTTTTAGGAAGAGTTCTATGAGGAATTGTTTTAAAGCTGTAAGCTTTACGTAGTCATGATGAGGCATTAGTGATTCACTGGTAGAATTCTTGGCTTCCCCGCAGGAGACCAGGTTCACTTCTTGATCAAAACTTCTACCTGTCTGTCAGTAGAGGCTTGTGTGTTACCATCATGCTAAACATGTTTCAGCTGAGCTTCCGGACTAGGTTGGAATAGGAAGAAAGGCCTGGTGATACACTTTTGAAAATCAGTTAGTGAGAACTCTATAGATTACAACAGCCTTAACCACACCAATCATGGTAGTGGTGCAGGATCAGACAATATTTTATTTTCTTTGTGCATGGGCTCCCCATGACTCAGGGAGTGGGGGCCCTGACTCTATGGCAGTTAACAATAGTGGTGATTTAGTGTGCTTTTCTCTACACAGCATTATAAATTAAGAGATGCTATTTCTCTCCATCTGCACCTCTGAAAGGGTGCCAGCCTGAATTTTGCCAGGCCTGGGCTAGGTCCCTGTGGAATAAGTGAGTTAGGCCATATTGAGTCACTTTTGGTCCCGTAAGGTGACAACCCTGCACATGAAGCTGTTGGTCGGGGTGACCCACAGCTCCCCTGCACTACACTGAGTTAAACTGCACTCAAACTCTCTGGCACCTTAGGTGGCCTGAAATAGCTGCTTAGGCCCAATGGTTTTCCTCAGCTCTGCAAGGAGATCAAAACTGCCTTCATCTGACCTGTTGTGAGGACTGTGTGGTCCACAGCAGGCACTCACCATACTCAGCCTTTTCTCCAAGATCAACCAAAATTAGCATATTGTCCAGTTAGAATGTGGATGGGGAGCTGATAGTTATTTTTACTGTAGCCTCACAAAAGAGCTGAGTTCTGCTAAGGGGGACCTATTGTCACACCTGTGTAAAGTCGTGTGTTTGTCTTGCCCAGGTCTGGGGCCTGGAGTGCTTGTAGTTATCGCATACTGGGTATAGGCTGTAGTTATTACATACTGGGTATAGGCCAGGGAGCTTGGCAGTGCCAAGCCAGGGTACACTGTGGGGCAGCCTTGAATATCAGTGACTTCACAGAAGAAATCCTCATTTCTCTCAAGGTCAGAGAGGCCCTCCTTGGCAGCTATTCAGCACTGGTGCCAGCTGCCACCATCTTGGCAGGGGAATCAGGGTTCCCTGAGGCAGTTGGAGGGGATCAAGGGAGTCACTACCAGCATCTGAACACTCCCACCAAGAAATACATGCCACTCACATGCTCACAACTAACTTCAGGGGGTCAGGAAGAAGAGCCAGAAACACTAGTGAACAGCTTCATGGCTGGGCAGTGGGGTTTATAAGGCTTTTTTTTTTTTTAATGTGGCTATTTATCAAAATTATGAAGTGACTAGTTATACTAGAAAAAAATCCTGTAGCATTCATTCTGGGCTTCCAGACTAGTTTACAAAAACAGTATTCCAGGAGCTGAATGCTCTTGGGTCCCGTCCCCACCCTTCATCCAGCTGTGTCCAGAAAGCTGATGGTGGTTCTCTGTGGATCCCTGGCTGTGCTGTTATGGAAGGCTGGGGACATACCTGACCTACCTAGGAATATGACAGCAATTTGGAAAATTCTGTGGCTGCAAATGGAGAAAACCAGTTGCCATCAGGTCAGCTGTGACTCATGGTGATGCCATGTGAGTCAGAGTAGAACTGTGCTCCTTTGAGTTTTCAAGGACTGATTGGAGTTGACCACCAGACCTTTCCTCTGAGGTGCCTCTGGGTGGACTTGAACCTCCAGCCTTTCCATTGGCAGCCAGACATGCTAACCTTTAGTACCACTCTTTCGTACCTTCTCAGGAGGGTGTTCTTTCACACTACTAAGCAGCTTAGGAAAGTGTTAGCCACAACTCTTAAAGCCTCCAGTGTGAGGCTTCCAGTTCTTTTTAGGGAGTTGCAGCGGCAGTCTGTTCCAAGAAGAGACGGGGGTGGGGTGGGGTGGTGGTAACCATTCTACCAAAGCAAAGTAACATCAAATGGGCTGGAAGAGACAAGTGAACAATGTTTATTACTGCTGGATTGTTTCTAAGTTCCACATTGCAAATTTAGACAAGGTAATAATGTGCTGCTTCAGGTTTCATCACAAAGGATGAAAAAAAAAAAAACCAAATTTCTCACTCCCTCCATGCTAATTCTCACACACGGTGAACACTGTGGAAGGTAAGGTTCATTTAGCCCTTTGTGGCCTCAGGCCTTTCAGGTGGATCTCCATAGCCATAGCCAATCTCCTTGGTGGTGGTGGTGGTGGGGGGGTGACAGCCAATTATTTGCTGTTTTAATGTACTTCATTCCTTATGACAGATAATACAACTTTGCTGCATTTGGAAAGGACCTACACCAATAAATTTAGACCAGTGCATCATTCAGGCAGCGATTAGGGTCACGATGCACCAGGGTTAAAGAAATAACATCTATATTTAGTATTTGAGATAGGGAAGCTCCTCTATTCATTGATCTCTTCTTCATCATCCTCAAAAGTTTCTTCTCCATCATTAACTGTAGCTTCTTGATACTGCTGGTATTCTGACACCAGGTCATTCATGTTGCTCTCAGCCTCAGTGAATTCCATCTCATCCATGCCCTCTCCAGTGAACCAGTGCAAAAAGGCCTTGCGCCGGAACATGGCTGAGAACTGCTCAGAGATGCGCTTGAACAGCTCTTGGATGGCCGTGCTATTGCCGATGAAGGTGGAAGCCATCTTGAGGCCCCGGGGTGGGATGTCACACACGGCTACCTTGACGTTGTTGGGGATCCACTCCACAAAGTAGCTGCTGTTCTTGTTCTGGATGGCCAGCATCTGCTCATCTACCTCCTTCATGGACATAGGACCCCGAAAGACAGTGGCCACAGTGAGGTAGCGCCCATGTCTTGGGTCACAGGCCGCCATCATATTCTTGGCATCAAACATTTGCTGAGTCAGTTCTGGCACCGTCAGGGCCCGGTACTGTTGACTGCCTCTGGCTGTCAGGGGAGCAAAGCCAGGCATGAAGAAGTGGAGGCGAGGGAAAGGGACCATGTTCACGGCCAGTTTGCGGAGGTCAGCATTGAGCTGGCCTGGGAAGCGCAAGGAGGTGGTGACGCCACTCATGGTGGCAGACACCAGGTGGTTCAGGTCTCCATAGGTGGGGGTAGTTAGCTTCAGGGTACGGAAGCAAATGTCATACAGTGCCTCATTATCGATGCAGTAGGTTTCATCTGTGTTCTCAACCAGCTGGTGAACGGACAGGGTGGCATTATAGGGCTCCACCACAGTGTCAGAGACTTTAGGGGAAGGCATGACACTGAAGGTATTCATGATTCTATCAGGATACTCCTCTCGGATCTTGCTAATGAGCAGGGTGCCCATGCCAGACCCTGTTCCTCCCCCTAGGGAATGGGTGAGCTGAAACCCTTGCAGGCAGTCACAGTGCTCACACTCTTTTCTCACTACATCAAGCACTGAATCCACCAACTCGGCTCCTTCTGTGTAGTGCCCCTTCGCCCAGTTGTTTCCTGCACCAGTTTGACCTGGAATAAATCAAATGAGAGTAGTATGCAATTGAAATATGGTGATCCAAGAAAGAACTGCTCATTATTAAGTACTTTTTAAGTGATAATGGAAAAAATGATAATGGAAAACAATTAGATAATACATTGTTGGCCAAAGTTGGGGGATGGTTAACAGATACCTGCCAACATTTCTGGTGGGCATAGGATTCAGTACAACTTCTTAAAGGGTTCACAATTTCTTTAGGTAATTACCAAATTTTAAGATGTACATGATTTTTGACCTGCTAAGTACATTCTTATTTTTTAATAGGTAATTCTTGCATATGGTAAAATTTATATCTTTTAATTTTTTAAAAATTTTTCTGCATTGTTTCCTCCCTTCCCCTCCCACCCCTGGTAACCAACAAAGAAAGTTTCCTTCCATATATAAACCTTTTCTTGACTTTTTACAATAATGAATTAATACAATATTTGTCCTTCTGTGATTGACTTATTTCATTCAGCATAATGTCCTCCAAGTTTATCCACATTATGCAGTGTTTTGCAGATTCTATTATTCTTTAGAGTTGCATAGTATTCCAGTGTGTATATGTACCATAGTTTGTACCAAACTATGAACCAAAGTTATCCATTCTTCTGCTGATGGGCACATGTTTTCATCTCTTTGCTATTGTAAATAGTGCTGCAATGAACATGGGTGTGCATATATCTGTTCTTGTCCTGGCTCTTACTTCTTTAGGCTATATACCTAGTAATGGGATTGCTGGATCAAATGGTATTTCTAATTCCAACTTTTTTAGGAATCACCATACTGCTTTCCACAGTGGTTGTATCATTTTACAGTCCAACTAGCAGTGTATGAGAGTCCTAATCTCTATATCCTCGCCAGCATTTGCTATTTTCTGTCTTGTTAAACTTTGCTATTAGTGCTGGCGTGAGATAGTATCTCATTGTTGCTTTGATTTGCTTGTCTCTAATGACTGTTGATCATGAATATTTTGTCACGTGTTTGTTGGCCACCTGAATATCCTCTTTGGTGTAGTGTCTATTCATGTGTTCTGCGCATTTTTGAATTGGATTGTCTTTTTCTTGTTGAGATGTTGGAGTTTTCTCTAAATTTTAGAGATAAGTCCCTTGTCAGATGTTGTTGCTGAATATTTTTTCCCAATCCATAGGTTCTCTTTTGATTCTTATGGAGAAGTCTTTTGAAGCACATAAAAATTTAAATTTTAGAAGGTTCCATTCATCTAGTTTATCTTCTGTTGCGTGTGCATTTTGGGTTATGCTTGACAGTATTTATGGCATAAATGAGGGCCCCTAAATTTGCTCTTTTTTTTCTTGAGGGACTTGATAGTTTTAGGTTTCACATTCAAGTCTCTGATCCATCTGGAGTTAGTTTTTGTGTATGGGGTGAGCTACAGATCTTCTTTCATTTTTCTGCAAATGGATCTCCAGTTTTGCCAGTACCATTTATTAAACAAACATTCTCTTCCCCATTTAATGGATTTTTATGTGATGGATGATGTTGATAGTTTTTCTAATGTTGAGCCATGCTTGCATACTTAGTATGGACCCCATTTGGTCATAATGTATTATTTTTTGGATATGTTGTTGGAGTCTATTAGCTAAGATTTTGTTGAAGATTTTTGCATCTATATTCAGGAAGGATATTGTTCTGTAGTTTTCCTTTTGAGTGATGTCTTTGCCTAGTTTTGGTATCAAGGTTATGCTTGCTTCATAAAGTGAATATGGGAGGATTCCATCCTTTTCTATGTTCTGGAATAGTTTGAGTAGGATTAGTGTCAATTCTTCTCTTAATGTTTGGTAGAACTCTCCAGTGAAACCATCTAGTCCAGGGCTTTTATTTGTTGGTAATTTTTTGATGACCTGTTTAATTTCTTTTGTTATGGGTCTGTTCAAATTTTCCACCTCAATCTGTGTTGGTTTAGGTAAGAAGTATGTTTCTAGAAATCTGTCCATTTCTTCTAGATTTTCAAATTTGTTGGAGTACAGTTCTTCATAGTATCCTGATATTATCCTTTTTGTTTCAGTTGGCTCTGTTGTGACATCGCCCATTTCATTTCTTATTCATGTTATTTGTATTCTCTCCCTTTTTTCCTTTGTTAAGTTTGCCCATGATTCTCAAAACACCAACTTTGAGTCTTGTTGATTTTTCTGTTGTCTTTCTATCTTCTGTTTCATTTATTTCTGCTTGAATTTTTATTATTCCCTTTTTTCTGGTTATTGTAGCCTTTTTTGCTGGTCTTTTTCTAATTTTTGGAGATGTTGGGTTAAGGTGTTGATTTTGGCTCTCTCTTTTTTGATGTCTGTGCATTTATTGCTATAAATAGGTCTCTGATTACTGTTTTTGCTGTGTCCCAAAGATTTTGGTATGTTGTGTTTTCATTTTTGTTTGGTTCAAGGAATTTTTTTATTTCATTTTTTTAAATTTCTTCTTTTACCCAATTATTTTCAAGGAAGGTGTTATTCAGTTTCTATAGATCTACTCTTTTTCCATTCATATTTCTATTGTTGATTTCTAATTTGATAGCATTGTGATCTGAGAAGATGCTTTCCAGTATTTCAGTGTTTTTAAATGTGTTGAGGCTTGTTTTGTGGTCTATCCTGGAGAATGTTCCATGTGCACTGGAATACAATGTATATTTTGCTTTTGTTGGGTAAAGTGCTCTGGAGATGTCCATAAAGTCAAGTTGTTGGATTGTATCATTTAGTTCTTCTGCCTCTTTGTTGAGTTTCTTTCCAGTTCTATCTTTCATTGAAAGTGGTGTATTAAAGTCTCCTACTCTGACTGTGAAGTCATCTATTTGTCTTTTCAATTCTGTTAAAGTCTGATTTATGTATTTTGGGGCTCTTTCATTGGGTGCATATTTATAATTGTTATGTCCTCTTGTTCAAGCGATCCTTTAATCATTATATAATGTCCTTTCTTGTCTCTTATGGTGGTTTTTGTCTTGAAGTCAATTATATCAGAAATTAATATTGCCACACCTGCTCTTTTATGGTTGCCATTTTCTTGATATGTCTTTTTCCAACCTTTGATTTTTAGTCTATTTTTGTCTTTGTCTCTAAGGTGTAGCTCTTGTAGACAGTAATGAGTTATGTTTTCTTATCCAGTCTTCAATTTTCTGTCTCTAGCATGGTGGATTTAATCCAGTGACATTCAGTGTAATTACTGAAAAATAAGAATTTGTTGCAGTCATTTTGTTACATGTTTTTTCCTGGTGTTACTGATTTCTTTGTTCCATATGAATTTCCATGCTGAACTCCTTTTGTTTATGAATAGTGTTTTCACTTCTTCGTTGTCATTGTTTTAGCATTTGCTAAATATTTGTGCTTGTCCTCTTCTTTCTTTTGATGTGAAGGCTTGTCATTTTTCCTTGAGAGTACCCTGTGATTTATAATTTTCTTCCCAAGTTTACAACAGTCAATTCTGTCTTGCAGTTGTCTTGACTTCCTCACCATTTAGAAGTTCTATAACTACACTACTTTTCTCTCTTTTTCATTTGCATTTGTCATTTGATAATTCATAGCTCTGGTTACCTGTTTACAATCTTGTAGGCTTATTTACTTTGGATACTTCCATAGCTAGGTTGGTTTCTGGGTTATGTCATGTGTATTATTGGTTGGTTGTTGTTTACTGTTGTTGGTTTTCTGTCCAAAGTTCTCTCTTTAGTATCTCTTGTAAGGTTGGTCTGATTTTAACAAATACTTTTGATTTCTGCTTATCTGGAAATATCCTAATTTCACCATCATGTTTGAGATACAATTTTGCCGGGTATTTAATTCTTGGTTGGAAATATTTTTCTTTCAGGGTTTTATATATATGATCCCATTGCCTTCTTGCCTGCATGGCTTGTGCTGAGAAATCAGAGTTTAGTCTTATGGGTTGGCTTTTGTAGGTAACTTCATTTTTTGTGTGCTGCTTTCATGATTTTTTTCTTTGTCTTTGTTTTTGATGAGTTTGATGATAATATATCTTGGTGATTTTCTTTTGGGGTCTATTCTGTTTGGGGTTTGTTGGACTTCTTGAATGGATATATTCTCATCTTTCATCATATGAGAGAAATTGTCTTCCAACAAATCTTCAACAATTTTCTGTGTGGTTTTATTTGTCTCTTCCTGTTCTGGAATTCTGATTACACATAGTTTATTCCTTTTGATGGTATCTCACATGAATCATAGGCTTTCTTCATTTTCTCTTGATCTTTTTTCTGATTGATCCCTTTCCAAAGAAATACTGAGATATTTGTCTTCAATCTAATTCTGTCTCTGAATTGATTCAATTCTACTCCTTTGCCCATTCAAGGTGTTATCTATGTCTGAGAATTTACTATTAGTCTTCTGGATTTCTATCTGTAAATTCTGTATCATTTCTAGTTTTTCATTTGTGTTGTCATTTTGTTCTTGCATTGTTTCCCAAAATTGTTCTAGGTTTTTTTCTGTTTTCCTCACTTTTGTCAGTGTTTTCCTTGATCTGTCAACAGCGTAGTGCCTAAGGCACTTGACTGCTAACCAGAAGGCTGGTGGTTCAAACCCACTAGCCACTCCTCGGAAGGAAGGTTGAGCAATCTATGTCCATAGTGATACTGCCTCAGAAACCCCAGGAGGGGTCGCTATGAGTCGGGTCCAACTTGGTGGCACATAACAACAACAACAAGAAAATATAATTCTTTTGAATTCCTTATCAGGGAGTTCCAATGCTGCTTCTTTCTCCAGGATGTGTTGTGGGTTTTTATCCTGGTCCCTTGTTTCTACTGCTTCATCTTTCTTCTTTATGTAGACTGTTATGGTCTGTTTTCTCCAAGATGTTGTTATGTCCTTATGTTTATATTTAATTGGTATGTTGGAGTGATTCACCCAAGATGTTAATTTTCTTTGTTTGTTTGGATGTTATGTCATTAAGCAGGGTACTGTGCTCCTCTGTTTGCTAGTTGGCAGCACTTATGCACTCACCACCTGTCTCCTTTCCAGTCATCAGACTCACGTCTGTCTGTCTG